GGACTAATCTTTTCCTTGTATCCTGTTCTCTTCATTCTCCCTTGCTCCGGAAGGGATGAGACCAGTGGAGTATCTTAGATGGCCGCTCACAGGCTTTTAAGATCCCAGACACTACTCATCAAGGTAGAACGTACAGCATTGTCTTTATAAGCTGTGTTATGCCAATTGAGCTAGATGTTCCCCGAGACCATGGACCCCACAGCCCTCCGCCCAGCAATTCAGTCCCTCAGGGAGTCTGGATGTGTCTATGTGGCTTCCATGACCTTTCCTTGTACAAGTTGTGCTAGTTTCCCCTGTATTGTGTACTGTGGAGCCAATTTTTTTTTTAACTACCACATACAAATATCACATTTTACTCCCAAATTAATCAGCTTCAGTTTGGCCATGGACATTTAAGAACCGTTAAGAATATTCTTATATTCAAGAACATTTAAGAACAGTTAATGATAGGAATGATTCAAGTAGCACCTTTTCCTATTGCATGTTTTAATACTTTCTCCCCAAAAGTTTTAAATGAAAAAAATTCTCAGATTTTTTTTGTGAATATGATTTTAATGATTCATGAATAATTTGATGCCACTGTACTCGAATCTATCAAAAGACAAGTTTTCTGAAGTCTTAAAAAAAAGTCAGCAGAATAGGTCAGGTGCCTTTTTTATGTGAGAAGCATTGGAGTTTTGCCTTACGGCTTTGCCAAATGGACTAAACCAAGCTCTCAATTCACCAGAGAGAAATGCATCTACCACGCCATCACTCACAAATTCATGCTACAAATGACGATCATTTAGAAGTGTGTTTTTATTATTACAAAACACCCTTTTTCACAGTGAAGGCAGGAAAATCATTGTAACCGTTCTTGTGGAATCTTTGTAATTAGTTTTCTCGGTGCTTACAGAACACTCCCATTTTCTTTCTTGTTCACATGTCATACATCTCACTTTGCCTAAACAATATATTTTATTTCTATTTCTCATTATCTCCGAAGCAATGATCTAAGTGTCTTTTCTGGTTAACTCAGTGGGATACAGATGGTCATCCACTTGGAGTTTTACTCATACGCAGCTGGGTGGCAACTAACAACGACAACAACAACAAATCACCCACTGATGCTCAGCACTGTGGGAATGACCTACCTTTCCAATTCCATCTTAAGGGATCCATCCAGTGACGGAGAGAAGGGGGAACTCAGAGTCAGGGTGAGGGAACTCCGAGCAGTGGCAATGCAGAGATTCATGGAATTCAGAGATTCATTATAAACTCAGGAATGGACAAGTTATAGTAACAGCACATTGGAGTTTCCATCTAAGAGTCAGAAACTATGAACCGGGAGTGGTTACCATGAGACCTTTTCAAGAATTCAAGACTCACTATAACTTTCCTATGTGTATTACTCTCTTCTATTCCCCAAAGAGACAGCCATTAAAATTCCTGGATCTGTGGACTGGTATTCAGGAACAAAAAGCAGGTCATCTATGTCAGTTAGTGAGGTGGTGAAGAGATGGGGGAAGATTACCACAATACTGAGGACGTGATACTTCTGAGGAGAAAGCAGGTTGAACTTTTGAGGGTCTGGGGGAAGAAGGCCATGAAAGCTCCGAGGCAGGCATGGGGGATGACTCTGGGCACATATCGCAAAAAATAAAGCAAACCAAAAGAAAGATCTGCAAAGTTCTTCCACCATCTCCTGTCAAACATTTATCAGTGTGAAATCACAAATCTTGGTGTTTCTTTTCCTATACACTTTCCTCTGCCTACCCTGACTTATTCAGAAAACATCTGCATGGAGTGCCAGCCTGTCTTCTAAACTCTTCACAATATAAATATTAACTCACGTAAGTTACTATTCTCACTCCTATTTTACAGATGAGGAAACTGAGGTAAAGAGATCAATAAACTGAGCAAAGTTATACAACTAGCAAGTAACAAAGCTGGGATTTGAAGCCAGGCAGTCTGATTCCAGGGTCTGCTATGCTGATTCCCCCTCATTCCTTTGCTGTTCTCCAGGCTACAAATGGTGTCGTTATTGTTGTAACTACAATGATGTCTCCTTTCCACTCGCCTGTGTTTTCCTGCTCTGCCCAAGAAATCATTTATTCCAGATTTTTCTGCCATGAAATAACCTGTTCTTATCTTGTCAACCACCATATATAACTTATTTTCTGCTTGTATCTTGACTTTTACAGGAACAGTAAAAACAAGGATGAATGATAAGGAATGGATCGTCGACGCCAGAATGAACGTACTCAGTTATAGGAAAGGTGGCATTCTAAGTTCACATTATTTATATATCAAATAAACATGGTAGTTTTAAAAAAAAGAAAACAACAGTAGCAACAACAAAAAAACCCTGAGACGTGAGAAACCACAGGATATAAAGTAATTCTCAATCATACGAAAGAATTATTAAGGACTGGAGCATTTCTAAGGCTTGATTTTAAACACTTTGGTTCAGACGGCCTACAGTAATTAAATTCTACTAATAAAGATACAGAGTTGTAGTCAGCAAACCACCAACGAGAAAAGAAGGAATAAAGTCGTACCTGCAGAGGTGTGTTTGAACTTTTCGCTTTTCTTCTTCCTCCATTTCCAAGGCTTGAAAATCCTTCCCAGGTTGGCGAACTTACTTCTCCTCCGGATGGGTGGGGTGTGGGTACCTGGGACTAGGGAGTCAGAGCGCATTGCCGCCAGCCGCTCCACTTTCTCAGCTTGTTTTTCCCGAGAAGGAGATGGAAATAGAAAGAAAAAAGTGTTAATATGGGCGCCTCACAGATGGACAACGTTTTCCATGGTTACAGATAACAGAAACCACATGACTAGTTCCGTTTCTCTTTTTGCCTTTTGGAATGGAAGCCACATCAGTGTGTTCTGAAGGCTGGGGACAGTCGGCCAAACCCTAGAGACTGATAACACCCAAACCAAATTTTCCCAACCTTAACTAAGACTTGAGGAGGAGTGTTTACTCTCCCACAGGGATAAGAGAGGGCACCCGAAGAGTCCTATGAGTCATTGTAACTACTGGTCCAGCAATTTCTCACATAAACCTTGGCAGATGCAATCCCTGCTTCACCGAGTGCTGATAAAAAAGGAGGGAGAAAACATTTATCAACTGTCTATTTCAATGCCAATTTCTCCACCACCCGCCCCTCTCTCCTTTCCACTACCCTGCTTTACCCAAACCCTCAAAAGGCACTGAAATCTGTTGAGAGGTTGGTCTATCTGAAGGTTACTGAGTTCAGAATAGCTCACAGTTCCGTGAGATTTTACAATTGCCTTAGTTTCTTCTACCTCTTTCATTTCCCCTGGCGTTTTGCTTTAAAAAAAGATTCTTAGATCTTTTGCATTTGCTAGCTGTTGTGAAAACGAAGAATAAACCAGTTCTGAGTGACAGACTGCATGCTCTCTAAAAAACATGGCTTCCCAAGGGCATGTTTCTTGAGAACCATTTCAAATAAATTAGAGTTTAACAAGGGAAGGAGGAGAACTCAATTCTTAGAAATTGAGAGCTGGAAGTGACCTTAGAAATATCTAGACTAAACCCAACAACTTTACATGTGAGGAAATTAAGACTTTCAAACTAATAATGCTTGGTGGACACTTCCTTAAAGATCACAATCACCCCTAACCTCTTCTTGCCTTTTAGAATACAACAAACTCTTTTCTAAGTTTTATGAGTATTTATATATCCCAGTGAGGTAAATATACCCCAGTGGAAATTTTTAAGATGGGAATACTCGGAGAAAATAATTAACCTCCTTGGCAAAGTCAAGGAGATGGGAGAAACTCACTTTTCCAAACAGAAGAATCACTTATAAAGCTGTGACATATCCAAACCTCTCTGGCCTCTAACACTGTCCTTCAGAAAAATCACCTAGACTTTGGCCATACATGGCCAAAGATTAGAAGCTCAATGTTGCAGCCTGATAATCTGCCCACTGTTGTCTGAAAATGGTGTTTCATTCAACAAGTGTATATGGAAGTTCAACCACGTACAGGCAGTGTGCTGTGGCTGCCATCTTGGTGAGAGAAGATGATGAATTGATAAAGGCTCCTGACAGGAGGACTGAAAGGAAGGCAATTACTATGGATTGAATTGTATCCTTCAGAAAGTTATGTTGATGGACTCCAACTTTCTGGAGCCAAGGAGGCTGGATGAACCCTTGAAACGATTGCCCTGAGATAATCTTCAAACCTTAAACCAAAAATATCCCCTGAAGTCTTCTTAAAACCAAACAATAGTATAGCTTAACTACTAAAAAAGGTCTGCTTTGAGCATTATGCTCTTTTAAGAATTATCTGTAAGGGATCAACTGACAACAGCAATTCGAAAGATTAGATAGGAACCCTAGGGGGCAGAGAGTTTATGTTAACTGGGGTGGAACAACTCAGAAAACGAGGGTGAGAATGGATGCACAACTTGAAGAATGTACTCAGTGTCACTGAATTACACATGTAGAAACAGTTCAGCTGGTGTATATTCTGCTGTGTATCTTCTCAACAACAAAATTAAAAAAAAAAAAAAGATGTTACACTGAAGTCCTAACCCCTGTACCTGTAACTATGGCCCTGTTTGGAAATGGGGGTTTTCTTTTGTTATATTAACAAGGTCATACTGCAGTAGGGTGGGTCTTAAACCTAATCCCTTCTGAGTGGTGTCTTAGGGCAGAATACACACAGAGACACACAAAGCGGGGACACAGGCATCATGTGAACACCAAGGATCGCTGGTAGACATCGGAAACTAGGAGAGAGGTCCACAGAAGGAATTGACTCAGCTGAGACCCTGATTTGGACTTTAGCCTCCAGAACTGTAAGAAAATAAATTTTTGATCTCTAAAGCCACCGATCTTGTGGTATTTTGTTACAGTCACCCTGGGAATCTAAGGCAGTAATAAATTTGAGAGCTAGGTGGGAAGTCAGGCCAAGAGGATTACGGATGGATTGGGCGGCCTGAGGGAGAAGAAGCAGATTGGCTCATTCCCAATTCCCAGATTCCTGTCGGGAGTGGCATCATTCATTCACTGCAATGGGGAGCACTGGGGGGAGCCACAGGTCTGGGGGCGAAGGCAGCAACGACGTGGCCACGCTGCAGTGGAGATGGCGCTCAGACATCTGACTACTTGGTTCCGTGACTGGCTGCTCCTCTTTCCAATCACTTTATTGTTAAGTGACCAATAAATTCTGGGCCAGACACTGGGATTAGTGTTTTCTGGGGCAGATGCACGGAAGAATCGGACATTGTTCTGAGCACACACGTAGAGGAGGAGACGGAGGAATAAGTACGTAAATGTGTTGCAACATGGGCAACTACTGAGAAAACGACATAAAATTCAATGGAGGCAAAAAGGAGAGTAACGAGTTCTGCTTCACAGAGTTGGAGAAGACCCTGGGGAAGGACTTTTTAGCCAGGTTTGGAAAGAGGAGTAACTGTTCTCCCCATGTGGTCCACATGGGGAAGACAGACGACACACAATGATCGCTCAAACACACACTGAAGCCAAAATGTAATATTCTCTGTAGCAGTGGTCTCATCCTGGGATCTGTGGATCCCAGTGGGTTCAGGGGGCTACGAAACCATTAAAATTATATGCAAAATTTCATGTGCATTTGGGTATTTGCATTTGGTTGTAAGAGTTTCCATCTTTCTTTTGATTTAGTCTGTGACATAAAAGTAAAATCAAAAAGAATCCAGTTTGAGGTTTCCCTGAGTACACCAAAAAAAAAAAGAACAGAAAACCCAACAAACTCATTGCTGTCGAGTCGATTCTGACTCATAGCGACCCTACAAGACAGAGTAGAACTGCTTCACAGGGTTTCCAAGGAGCGGCTGGTGGAAGCAGCTGTAGCTCTTAACCACTACACCACCAGGGCTCTGCATATAGTATTAAAAAAAAACAAACCAAACCCATTGCCGTTGAGTTGATTCCGACCCATAGTGACCCTACAGGACAGAGAACTACCGCCCCATAGGGTTTCCAAGGAGCTGCTAGTGGATTCAAACTGCGAACCTTTATGGTTAGCAGCCGAGCTCTTAACCACTGCGCCACCAGGACCCGTCTGAGAATAGCCAACCTCAAATATCTTTTGCTAAAGGTTAAAGAAAGAGACTATCTAAAGAATCCTTTTTAAAAAAAACTAAGATGCAAATTACCCAGGATTGATACTGAATTTCCTTCTTGAAGCTGGCACTCAATAAACATTTATTAAATCAATACATGAATGGCCGTATTTGCTTCAGCTCATTTCTACACATCTTGAGATGTGAAAATCAGTATCACAATTTGCTTTAAGAAAAATGCACCATCAGGGCCAAAAACCTGTTTCACGATCACGTCTTTAAGAAATGGATAAAAATTATTCTTAAATTACCATATTAAAATAATTATAAGAAATTAGGAGTGCCTTGGAAAAAACCTAGAGCTTCAAGGAGCCGACAGAGTACTATAAAGGTATAATTATAATTTGATAGCTAAATGCGTCCTTAATAAGTATATTATTAAATTCAGCTGGATTACATTCGGTTTAATTGATTTATATTTTAATCACCCAAATTACCTTTTTCCCCCCAATTCATTTGATGATACAGGCTGGCTCTCAACCCGACTGCACTGTCATCAGATAATGAAACTGTAAAGCTGAAGACTGAGGAGAGAGGCCAACAGTTTCACGAGGAAGAAGCACAAAAGAAAACAAGAGGGCTGGGAACAAAGTGGCCTCCTAGGCAGAAACGCAAGAGAGAAGAGGATGAGGGTAAGTGGGAGCGACGGGGCAGAGGCAGGAGTGTTCACGCCGCCTTCTCTGGAAATATAATAAAAATGCTGCTTGGCTCAGGCCGACTGTTCTCAAAAGTGGCGTCCTCACAGGAGGCAGCTGTTTGGAGAAAATGCTCACTCAGACATGAATCAGCTCAAATGCCAAGACTGAGAACGCGGAATCCAGAGGCAGGAGGCTGGGCCGCTGAGCTGATTCCGAGAGCTGAGGGAGAGCGGGAGGCCTGGCCCAGATGCTCCTCCCAGTGATGCTGTTTTTAGTTGCCACTGAGTGGACGCCAAATCATGGTGACCGTAGGTACAACAGAAAGAAACGTTGCCCTGTCTTGGGTCATCCTCAAGATCGTCAGCATGTTCAGGCCCGCCATTTTGGCTACTGTGCCAATCCATCTCGCTGAGGGTCTCCTGCTCCCTAGCTGGTTCTACGTCACCACACATGATGTCCTCCTCCAGTGATGGATCCCTCCTGATGATGTGTCCAAAGCAAGCGAGTCAGACAATGTTCTGTTGTGATCCCTAAGGTTTCCTTGGCTGATTTCTAGTCTCTCTTAGTCTGGAAGCTCTGCTGTAACCTGTTCACCATGGCTGACCGTGCTGGTATTTGAAATACCTATGGCACAGCTTCTAGTATCACAGCAATATGCAAACCACCACAGTTGGACCAACTGATGGATGAGTGGTGGCCTTCTAGTATCACCATCCAAGAAAACATTCCTCTAAGGAACTAGACAGTTGGGGCTCCCTTTTAGGACATGACTGGGATTGCTTTATCCATAGGAGGAAAAATGGTTAGGAGAAGATTTTCCTTTCTTTAGCAGAGCAGGAAAGAAAATACTTGATTTATGCGTGATTTTAATGACCAAGAACCAAAATACCTGTGAGTGCTTGTGCTCTGAATTCTACTAATGTGACAGCCTTGTAGGAGCCCTGATGGCAGA